AAAGCCCACTTGTCCTAGATACAATTACCCCTCTTGATTTTCTCCAAAGAGAATTCTATCCCAGTATTTATAACCTGGTTGCATCTATTACTTTCAATGTCTGCCTCATGCAAGATTAAAAGCTCCTTAAGGGAAGGACCTTGTCCTGATCATAAAATCACAGTTTCTGTATTACAAATGTTGTTCATGACCATTTGTTGAACACCTAATATGCAACAGAGCCAGTGCACTTTCCAGTACACCATGCTGACTTATTCCTTTGTGCCAATTTTAGTCCACAAATGTTATAAGGTCCTTGCTTAGCATCTTAAGTGACAGTTGCCATTTTAAGAAAAATTTTGCTTTCCCACATTTCTGAGAAAGGCTCACTACTCCCTCATACAAACTCCACCCTTCGCCATCCAGCATTAGGACCCACCCAGCTCTAATCTCTGAGCCTTCCCCATAAAAGTCCCAAACCCCAAGCCTGTTTTGTCTCTCTCCATCTATGGAGAGATGTACCTTTATTTGTCAGCTCTGACAAATAAACTCTTGTGTGTATCTCTGCCTGGTCTTTGTCTTTCATTTCTCACTCGCCCATCTCCTGTTTCCTCACTTTCTTCTCAAATGTGTGTCTATTTGCTTAAAAAAGTAGAGGGAATTGGAGTTTGATCTTGCTCTTCCTCTTCTCTGGCAGACCTAAGGCCTCTGAGCTTGTATTTTAGTTTTGACCCAAAAAGTGGGTTTTAGGAAGAAATGACGCAAATCTTAATGATTGTTGAATCTGATGTGATGGGTCTGTGAAGTTTCATTTTACTATTTCCTCTCTACTGTATTTGAAATTTATATAAATAAATGAAAATGCTTTTATGCAGCATTACTTTATCATTCCTGCTTACTGTGGACTTGCCAGTGACTACACGGTGGTTCCCTAGCTCCTCTTCCAAGCCCTGTCTTTTCCTAATAAGCAACTAGACCACCCTCGGTGAGGTGGCTCTGTGAGCACCAGATCAACTGCGACACATTGTGCAGTTTACCTGGTAAAATTGCTCTTCAGTGTGTGCATTTGCTCTTGGCTTGGTCTGCTTTGCCTGGATGATGTATGCAGCAGTGATTCAGGCCTAGCAGTCACCTGGAGAGGCAATCCTTCTTCAGAGGACAGCCCAGGGCATGTGAGATGTGGCTGGTGACAAGCATGATGACAGCAAGATTTATCTGCCAGACGGGGACACGGTTAGTGATGTTTTTCAACTCTAAAGACAGAACCCAGACTCAATGGCAAAGCTCAAAATCTGTTCCTGGAGCAAATGGGATTTTTTTTTTCTCTCCCTGTAAACTTCAGACAGACCTCTGGGTCCAGAAGAGTTGCAGCTTGAAGCCCAGCAAGGCATTTGCCACTCCTTGGGGGAAGAGCCAATAATGATGTGAAATGTGCAATTAAATGTGATAAAATATCAAACTCTGCAAAAAGTTCTTGAGGGAGAAAAGTTGGGTTTACACTATTTTATTATGTTTCAGATGGGAAGTTGAGGCCAGAATGAAAAGAAAAGTAAGTTTTAGAGTCAGATGTAGGTTTTGATGCCAAATAAGCCATGGATAATTTGTAACTTTGGACAATATTTCATCAGCTTGAGTTCCTACTGTCTCAGGTAAAAGAGTGAAAACCTTATAGAATTTATATATATATATATATATATATATATATATATATACAAGGATTGAATTAATAGACATAAAGTGCCTGGAACTTGGTAAGTTCTCAATAAATGATAGATGTGTGTGTTTTTCCAAATTTTTAAGAGTGCACCATGTCTGGAAAGCACCCAAAACTTTATAGATAAGGGAGAAAAAATACTGAAAAGGCCAGGGAAATCATAAATTACATGAAAATAGGTGAAGAAATGATCAGAGAAATTAATGGGCCATCAATAGGACTACAGGAAAAAAAATAGCTGAGTTTTTTCTTGTGTAGATTTCAGTTTCTCAGGAATTGCTCCTGGTTTTACAAGATTCTAGATCAATCAAGCCAAGTCAGTCTTCTAAATATTCAAAAATCTCATTTAATTAGTTCAAACGCTTTTAGCAATGACATGTGCAACCCCCATGGCACTGGGGCAGGGTTTGCCCTCAACACCCACTGCCCATAAAAAAAAAGCTGAGCAGACAATGGCTTCAGGGCTGCTCAAACAAACCATTTTCCTAAATTATGCCTCTTCTACTTCCGCCATCTCTGTAAAATCATTACAGTTCATTAATTTTGTGGGATTTCAGGACCCTGGGACTGTAATTCTCTGTTAGTGCTCTCCCATATGCTGTGGCAGAAAGACAAGTGTAAACCGTTCTCAGCCACACACCAGCGCCAGCCCAGAGACTTTGGGCCCAAACCAAGAGCTGCAGCTTCAACTTGGATGTTTAACATCTGCCTGATTTATGGCCTCCTTGCTTCATGAAGAGAGCTGGTAAAAGCTGTAGGGGAGCATTTTGATGTCGCTTGTGTTCATTTTCAGCAATAAATTGTGACGGTATTGCAAGAGCACATGTATCAGACAGTCAGAATCTATTATAGTGCAAGGCCAACAGCATCCTGGGAAAATCACTACAGACACAGGATACAAAATGCTACCTTCAAGTATCATTTAGGGCATATTTTTAAATAGATAGAAAATTAGGACTATAAGCATTAAGATTCCCACAGCCATACTAATTGGGCCACATGATTATCTAACCATCGGGTTGTAAATGGCATTGAGCAGGCTGACGGGTGTCACAATTAGACCCCAAAGTCAATCAGCCATCTGCAGTGTGCAATTGTCAACCCTGATGGTCTGAATATACTTCATGTTTGTACAATGACATTTTATATGGCTTATACATTATTTCCTCACTTGTTCAATAAGCTGACATGACTTATACCACTCTCCTATTCTGTTTTCCCTAGTTCTTCTTTAGTTCACTAAAAGAATCTTCACTTGTTATCCCAAAGCCTAATATACTTCTTACTGGCATTAGCCACTCTTCCAACCAATCTTGCTGACAACTGATGGTCGATAAATTTTTCCAAAGCACCATTCTATCTATCCCAACCACTGCTCAAAAGCCATTAATTGACTTCTACGTCTATTAAAATATAACCACAAAACACCTCATGGATAATCTGCTGTGTGGGCCTGGCCTTTTGGAAAACTTTCCCAGGCTCCCCAATTGTATTTGATTTTTGCTTGAGTGTCTTCCTAGCTTGGTATTAAACTCTCTGACATCAGCAGATAATATGTGCCCATTAAGAATTTGCTGAATGACTCAATGATTGGACTTGCTCATTGGTACTGGGTGATGATATAAATTAGTAAAAATTCTTCTGGAATGTAATTTGTCAGTATAAACATTCATTTAAATATTTATAACCTTTGACCTTAAAATCTTATTTTTGATAATCTGTTCTGAGGCAATCTTTTAGTGGAGAAATGATGTTTATGAGGTATTGCTTATAATAATAAAATGTCAGATGGGTTTAAAATAATAATAAGAGTATGGTTAAGTAAATTAAGGTAAATCCACTCAAATGAATTCTAAAGTCAATAAAAATTATTATAAAGATGGCTAATGACAAACTTCCCTTTTATTTGGATTTCTGTTAATGTTATTGTAAGACTATCTTCCTAACAAATGGGCATTTCAATGTCTCTACATCCTGCAGAATAAAACCCAGACCAGCCTAGCATTACACCAGTCTCCTTGAAACTTGTATTTCCAAGATCATTATTTTTTTTTCTTTTTTGCCTATGTACATATAAAAAAGCACAGAAATTGAAACTGGGTAGATCCCATGAATTTCCCATGAAGTGAAGCCCTCTGTGACACATTCAAAATAACCCCCAATCTCTACCTGTCTTCTTCCACTACCATCTTGACTTATAATTATGCCTTTTGTTATTATATCATTTTTTGTCATACACAGATTATCACAAAATATCAGAGTTACAATTTGTTTGGAACTAACTTAACTAAAAGGGAGCACTTTTCTTTGTTTCCAATGCTTGTGATTAAACCTAGGGACTTGCACCTGGGAGCTCTACCACTGAACCACAATTTCCAGCCCCAGAATCTTGTGCAATGCTGTCAGGTATATACGTAGGATATAGCCCCGGGATGCCGGATTTCTGAGCTATAGAACTGTGAGCTGATGTATGGGTATTGTTTTAAGGTCCTAAATTTGTGGTGATTTATTAATTACTTCAGCAACATAACATACTTCTGTAAGGGGCCTTTGACTTACTGGGAGAAGGCATCCAGCACAAGGATTAGCAAGGTCCTGAGCTGGGACTATGCATGACTTGGCATGCTCAAAGAACAGAAAAATCAACCAGTGGGGTTGGAATGGAGTGACTGAGTGTTAGGAGATGAGGCCAAAGATATAATTAGGGATTGGATCCTATGGATCCTTCAGAATTTCACAGGAAGCTCTTGGAGAGTTTTGAGCAGGAGACTGGTATAATAAGATTTACATTTTAAAAGGATAACTCTTGCTAGCAAGTAGTAATTCCCTGTGGGGCATTGAATGTAGATGCATGAACAGTTTGGATCAACTGTACTAGCCAAGAAGAGAAATTTTTGTGATTGTCACCTATTGGTGAAGGGAGGTGAAAAGTGAAATACTGGTGAAAGGAGGTGAAAAGTGAAATACTAAATATATTTTGAAGATTCAATGACAGGATTTGCTTATGGGCAGGAAGTAGAGAGTAAGAGAAAGTCAGAAGTAGAGATGTTGAGTAGGTAGCTGGATGCGCAAGTCTGGAGTTTTTAGAAACTGACAGCATGCGCAGGCTATTTAAAGTATGAGACCAGAGAAGTTTCCTGGGGAGTGAATATAATTAGCAAAGAGGACTGTGATCTGAGGCAAGCAATATTTAGAGATCTACAAGAGGTGGAGTTAGGCAATGAGGCCTGAGAAAAACCTGTCCCACAGGCCAAAGGAAAAAAAGGTTGCAAGGGCAGGGAGTGAACAGGGTTGGGAGGCCCAGGGAGAAGAGGGCTAAAACTTAACATGGAGTTTGCAGCAGGAACTCTCTGGTGATCTAAAAGAGACTGGAGTGGGAGGATAAAAGCCTGTTTGGATGATCTCAAGAGGAAATGAAAGAACAGTGAGCTAAGTCAGTGAGTATAGACAGCTTTTTTTGTGAGTAATTTCCCCCCACCCCCAGAGAAATGATGTTGTAGCAGGATGGAAAAGCAGCATCAAGAGAGAGTAATTTTGTTTTAGCCAGAGTTATATCTGATGTTGAGAGTATGACCCAGCAGAGTGTGAGATTGCTGCTGGAGTGAAATACCAGAATAGGTTCAGAGGCCTGGGATCCAGGTCATGGGAGAGGAGGCAGGTGGATACACATAGAGGCCTGCAGGTGGGAGGAGGCATCAGGAGAGTGTGGCTATGTCCTGTGGCTATGTTTGTCTGTAACACAAATGCAGCACTGGATCATTTATAGAAAGAGATACCTTCATTGCCTCAGTGAAGTAGATCTTAAATATCTAACATGCAAAGAAAATAATACTTCAAAGAGATGAAGTATCTTGCCTTTGGTCAGCCATTGGGAAGGTCAGAGTTGGAGGTCAGGTCTCTAAGACCAACTGCAGACAGAGAATGTGGGAGGGTAGCTGCTTCGAACATCTGAAGTCAGTCGTGTGAGGTGGACAGAGCTGAGGAAACTCAGGAAGAAATAGATCTTGTTGCTCTGTGAACAGCAGAGGTAAAAGACACCTAGGCTAGAGGCTCATAGGAAAAAAAATAGATACAGCAAGGAAGAAAAAGCAAGAACATTCTAAAAGGGATAAGATTTTATACCTGATTTTAAACACTTGTGTAAGGCTTGTGCCCAGAAAGGTCAAACATTGTGACAAGCCTCTTGGTGCTCATATCCCAAATGTCACACATCTGAGCCATCTCCCAATGATTCCAAGACCTGCAGCTATGCAGACATTGAGTACCATTGTTATTTTATAGTGGGGCATACACAGAGGCCCACAGAGCACTCTGTCAGCTGTGGAGTCCCTGGCTTCTGCCTTGTCCCTTTCAGGTTCCTCCCTACCTACTTATAGCCACAATCGTATTGTGTCCATTCCCCAAGTACAGCTGCCCTGCCCATGTTCAGCAGAAGACGCCCTGTCCCTACCAAGAGCTGATTTCCCTGCCTCTCCTGGGGTGGCAAGTTGGAGTAGGTTCTAGTGCAGCCACAGAGAATGTCTTAACCCCCAGCTGAGGGGCCTTTTGTTCCCTGAGCGTAAGCGGTCCTGTGATGCTCAGAGCCTCCGTGTTCATGAACCTTCTGTGAACCTCTGGCCTCACCCCTAGCTGGACTTCCACCAAGACACTTATTATATACCTACTGACTAGCAGTTCCATTCAGAAGGGGCTGGGATATCAGGCAAAGAGAATAGGAGTAGGAAAGAGAAGAGCCATCTTCCAGTTCCAGCTCTGCTCTGTGACCCTGAGTTAAGCCCCTCCACCTCTTTGAACTCCTTTTTTCACATTTATGAGAAGAGAACTCCACCACTCTGCACAGGGCTACCGGAGGTCAGGTGAGATAATGTGCACAGAAATAAACTTAAAGCCCTGGACAAGGAGAGGTATTTATGCTCTTTCTTTCTTCTACCCCTGGCCCCAGGCCACTAAAGGCACTCTTTAGAAAACCTTGGGATTGATGAACCAACACCTTCCAACCAGAGGGGACAAGTCTACAATTTCAAGGTTACTGACACAGACAAAAGAGAACAGCAGAGGACTCTTCACACTAGACAACAGACAGGAGGGCACAAGAAAACATGTCCAAATCCAGGGTTACTTGGTTCCTTCTGCAAGAGGACCCGTTAGCATTAAATGGCAACAAGAGACATTAAGGAGACATTTGCAGGTTTTTACTTTTCTTGCAACTTGATATGTTAGAAGTAACGCCTCATCTGGGGTCTCCCTAAAGTTAATGAGACTGAGCGGACAGTTCATTGACTTGCTTTGCAGAATTTATTTTATGAGTGCCTCTAATCTACATGGCTTCTCTGCTTGGGGACTCAACTAAGGGAAATTCCAAAAAATCCCACCAGCTTATTCATACTTACCATGTTGCTTCATATACAACATACACTCAATCAACGTAATTATTATTCAATTCTGAGAAAGAAAACACTGTCTTAGAGACAAATTTAACCCATAAGAGTGTGCACATGGGCTCACACACACTCACGTTTGTGAATGTATGTCCAAGGGCTCAAGTTATAAATTTCCCACACATGCAGGGTTTTCTGTTCAACTTCCTATTATCCAGATTCATTTTGCTAGGGAAGCCTCTCCCCAGCTGAAAAAATCAAGGATTTTCCAGCTGTCCCAGGAGAGGACCACTGCTATTTTCTAAGACAATGCCCCCCAGCAAGGGACAGAGTTCAGTGGGCATGGCTATGGGCCACACTAATGGGAAGAGACCCTGGCACTGAATTTCCAGCTCAGTAAAGATTCTGATGTCCCAAATGTGGCATAGGAAATATGGAGGAAAGGCCTGAAGGGACCAGAGAGGCCTCAGAGTTAACTGCACACATGAACAGATGACCAGTTGTGGGTGCAATCCCTTGTATTTGACCTCATGTGGGACATAGAGCCTCTGGAACAACTGAGGTTAGGTTTCCTCCCAGCTCCATGAAATGAGGACTCAGAGTTAGATTAGGTACAGTTAGAGAGTATAAAGCACTATTTTATTTATACACCCCAAGTGTAGAGATAAGTTCATATGTATTCCAATGGAAAAATGATTTAGTACCTAAATGAACACAGCTGGTTTGTTAAATGAAGCACTTTTAAAACTTAGTGTCCATGGGGAAAAGCTGAGGTGGTTGGAGTGGGATGGGTTGAGGGAGAGGTGGCGGGGATCCTTGGACATGAAGATACTAGGAAATTGAGTTTCTGACATAAATCCAAGTACACAGCACCTTCTCCTCTACCAACTCTTCTGGGCTACTTGCCAGGTACTCTTAGGTTTTAGGGGACAATGCTGATTATCTTTGCTTCACATCATTTTTTTCCATTGCCTGAGTTACTTTTTAATGTCCCCCAGGAAAGAAGAGTGAAAAGAGTGTGTCTAACCAGAAAGCAGCATAAGGGTTTTGGGATGCTTAGCCAGGCTCTTTGACCTGCAAAGAACAGAGTCCCATTCAGGTGAGTTCACCCTGTGGGAACTTGTTATGAGGACAATCAGGGAAGCAGTGGATAGCGTGGTGTCTCACTCAGTGGTGTGCCAGGTCTTCAGGGAATATAGGAGCCTAGATCAGACATTCTCTCAGGTGTAGAATTTCAGCAACCTCTACCCTGCACTTCACTGTTAACATTGATTCAATTCCTCTCTGTCTCCACTTCTTGTCTCTACTAATCATGGCTGCCTCTACTCTGGTGACTTCATGCTCATGATTATTACATACCTCTGGACTCTTCCTCATCATGTCTGTGTTCTACCTTCTCTCCATGTCCTATCCCATTTCTGTTCCTCCTACAAACTAATCAACCTTTTCCCTGTAATTCTGGTTTGAATTTCTGAGGGAGCGTTGTGATGCCCCTATTTGGCGGAGCTCGCATGACATGTGACATCATGGGCTGCCACCACTGTCCAAACTATGGACTTGATAATCTACACATCAGACGCCTTCTGTGGGTCTAACTGGTTTAAGCCATGGCAGGTTTCATGGCCATTACTTGATTCATTAGAAGCCAGCCCTTAGTATGCGGCTATAGTCAGGGCAGATTTTCAAAGCTTAGCCTATCTGTCTGGATCAATTAGGAAATCAGATCAGTTGTCAATTACCTGAACCACTTTTGCATATCTCTTGGGTTGTACTAAATCATTTTCTAAAAACAATCCATTATTTAACAGATGCTCCTTCTGTTTTAAGAAAGGAGAGATGCTTGACCCAGTTTCTACTTTAAAGTGGAAGTTATCATGGAGCAGCAAAGTGGACTTAGATGCCTGACAAGAGTTTACAGGGCCTTCTAGTTAAGACATCAGGTTTAGCAGGTTTCTCTATGTCAGCAGAAGAGTGCCCCAATTCTCCCTGAATAGATAAGTAGCTCTTTTCTTCATAACAAGAAACATTCTAGGGCAGTTAAGAAGAAAATCTACCCAAGAATGGCTGTCCTTGTCACTCATTTAGTTTCACTATCCTGTAGGTCAGCATCCAGGGCACTGACCTGGGTCTGAAGCTGTCACATGCCTATATAAGACATGTCCCCAGTAAACATCATCTTGCATCCAAATCTCAGGTGATAATTTGGCAGAGGGTTGTCTTGCTCACCAGAAGCCTGGACAAGGCTCCTGTGGCCTCTATTGGCCTCTGGAGAACTGTTTCCTCCAGCTCTCTCTCCCCAGCAAGTGCCACTTGAGTTGGGCCCAAGGAGGCTGCAGCAATCAAACAGGCCAGCAGAATGAGTACACTTGTGCTCGGTGGTGTATCTGGAAATTGGCTTTCTTTGGCTTTTAATGGGACATTTCTCCAGCAGTTTTATGATTACCAAAGACAATCAGGGCAGTTGGAAATCTGGGATATTTGTACCCTTCACTCTGTTTGGGCCTCGAGCACTGAAAACATTAAGTCAGTTCCCTAGAGGGCCTGTCCCCTGTAGAGAAAATGTTTAATAATTGAAAGGCACTGTATGTCTGTACTCATTAATTTAAAAATATTCCCTAGTCAATATTCTTCGCAATGAACATGATTATTTACTGCTTAGTGATGAGCTGAACAAATGACAGCAGTCTTTTTTCTACCACTTGCATTTTCTATCAGGAATAAATAGTAGCACTCAACTATTCACAATACCTATCAGCTGCCAGTGTAATTTTAAATAATACACACAAACTGCTATTTTCAGTTTCATCAACATTTAGTAGTAATTTTTGGCTGTCACTGTGTTAGTTAGCTTTTCATTGCAGTGACCAAAATACCTGAGAAGAACAACTTAGAAATAGTTTATTTTGGGTTCACGGTTTCAGAGGTTCCATGTATGGTTGGCTGACTCCATTGTTTGGGGCCTAAGTGAGGCAGACCATCATGGAGGAAGGATATGGTAGAGGAAAGCTGGAAGCAGAGAGAGAGTGGGAGGAACCAGTGACAAGATGTAACACCCAAGATCATCCCTCTGTAAGCAAGTGGGGCACAGCCTCCAGCCATGCCTTATCTGTCAACAGTTATCACACAGACTACATTCAGATATCAATGGATTAATCCAACAAGTGGATTAATCCACTGATAAGGTAAGAGTCCTAATCATTGCCTAAAAGCCCCACCTATGTATCTTTGGGTTCATGACTTCAAAAATAATTGGGGGATTTCAAAACATGAGCCTCTTGGTAGATATTCAAGATCCAAACCATAACAACCACCTACAAGTTGAGAATCTTACAGTAAGTCCTTAACTTATTGTCCTTACTTCTTTTCTTATCCACATTCTGTTGTTTATTTTCCTTTATATGGTTGGTGATAATAACATTTAAATGCTATTCTACAAATTTTAAGACTTTCACACTTTGTTTACAGGTTGAATCTAAACACTAATAAGCCAATAAATATTTTACATTTTAACTACTATGTAAATACTGTTCATCACAGAGTCAGAAGGAATCACATAATTACTTTTCCTTTTCTACAGGTAAAATATCATCACCTTTGGGACATTTGGAGAACATTGTTAGTATCAAGTTCAAGCAGATTCTCTGCCCTCATACTCAAGCCATATCTTGGTCATGTTACAATACAGTGAACCTTCTGTGTGACCCATGGCTTTGTTCTATTTGGTTTTTCCAGAGATTTCTAATTGCCTTTTATTTTTCTTATTGAAACATTAATAAAGAGCTTAAGTGTCCAGTCTCTCAATGATAACATTGCATGGAATCTCCATTATTACACAGAGACAATTTGAAAAACTCTCCCATTCTTAGACCAATTGTTTTTTAGAGACCTGAAGGGCCACTGTCTGTCTGAACATTTCTTCACCACATTATTGTGTTAGAAGCACTCTCTCCTTCATCATGGCCTTCTTTCTCCCTGTTTTCCTAGAACCACTTCCTTATTTTATCAGGAAAATATTTCAAGTCCCTGTATGTCTATAAACTATATTTTGTCCTTCTACTTGATGGACAGTTTGGCAGAGTACAGAATTCTTGGTCAAATGAAAGCTAGTTCAAAATAATTTTCCTTAGAACTTTACAGCATTGCTCCATCACTCCTAGCATTCAGAGATGCCCATGCCAGCTGATTTTTTTTTTTTTGTTATAATGCAGGCTAGTTTGTTTCTCTCTGAAAATTCTTATTTTTTTTTAAATTTGACTCTTCTAGTTTGATGAGATTATTCTTATAATTGGATATTCTCCTTTTCATGCTGCTCAGCATTTGATGAGCCCTTTCAAGATTAACACTTATACCTTTTATCAACTCTTAGAAATCATCCTCATAACTGCAAAACTTTCTACCCTGTATTACACAGCCTAAATCCTGGAACTCCCATTGGTCATATGTTGAATCCTAAAATGTTCATTTTTCTTATTTTCTATTCACATGTTTTATACATACGTATCTTTCTTTATTTTGGAAGATTGCCTTGATTTTTATAATCAAAACTTGCAGTTGATTTTAAGGTGTTTTTTTTTTACAGAGTATTTTATTCCAAGAGTTAATTCTTTGATTATTCCTTTATCATGTCATTCTATTCTTGTCTTAAATGCCATGTCTTCTCAATTCTCTCTCAAAGTATCATCAGATTTTTTAAGGTTATCTTCTGTTTCCTTGAACAGCTCTGCCTCCTCCAGGGTCAGTTCTTTTTATTTCGGTCTTTTACCTACTGCTTTTCTCCCTCATATATTGTTCATGCACATTCAAATTGGAGAGACACACCTGAGTCTTCTAAGTAGCCGGTATGATCTTTATCCTGCTTGCAAGGAACTGTATGATTATTCACCCCAACAGACCTCTGTCCTGGATGGAGAGACTGATGATAAATTTGTGCATCTGGAAGGGACATAGTTAATGGTAGTCTTCACTTCAGAGTGATAATGAGGAACAACCTGCCCAAATTCCAGAAGTAAAAAAAAAAAACAAAAAAAACAAAAAAAACACTTTATTCTGGGATAGCAATGCCTCCCCAAAATCTTTGCTCACTAAAGATTGCTCTCTTTCTTCGGCTGGGGTTGTGGCTCAAGCGGTAGTGTGCTCGCCTGGCATGCGTGCGGCCCGGGTTCCATCCTCAGCACCACATACAAACAATGTTGTGTCTGCTGAAAACTAAAAAAATAAATATTAAAAAATTCTCTCTCTCTCTCTCTCTCTTAAAAAAAAAGATTGTTCTCTTTCTTTATAAAAGTGCCCACTTTTTGTCTTGTTTTGCTTTTTACTTGTTTGTGTTTCAGTCTAGGAACAATTAAAGCATCTAGTTGTTCCACAGATGGAGGCCAAGGAGAGGGGCATATAGGGCCGACTCCTGCAGCTCTTTTCTTCCTTTTGAGCTCCCCTTTGGTACCTTCTTCTTCACCAATGGGCACATGAGTCACAAACTCTGAAGTTTCCCTGGAAGATTGGCCCTTAGCTCCTCTGCAGGCCCCACCTCTGGCTTTCCCTGCTTTGCTTACTTACCAACACCCTCTAATTTACCTTCCTCTGGGAATTTCTTAAAATCTTGTATTCACCAATGATCTTTCTTTCTGAACCCTTTGCTGTTATAAGCTTCTTCCTTTACATGTTTTTCTAAGTCCCAAAATCTCAACTGGGTCTTTGAATAGGGTGCTTTATGAATGAGGCCAGGTTTTGCATCTTGAATCTGAAGCTCCCAATACTTGTTTTGAGATGTTTGGACAAGAAGGTGGTATTGCCCCTCCACTAGGGCAGAGAGGGGACATCAATGGAGGCCATCTGTAGAGGACAGTTATGCCCAAAGACTGGCCCTGTTGTAAGAGCCATGAACCACACATGTCATATGGCAGCAGGGCAAAGAGGCCAGACTAGAAGACCCTGATACAAGTCCCTACAAGTGAGTCATCTGTCAGACTCTCATAAATAACTGGAGATCACCTTGACAGCAGAAGGTTTTACTTTCTACAACTGGGCAACAGAAGCTCATTTTAATGTATGTATGAATAAGAAAGAAAAGAAAACCTTATATTATAGTCCAAAATGTTCTTTAGAAATTTGCTTCCATAGAAATGTCAAGTTCAAATGGAAATCAATTTTTAGGACATAGAAGGTCACCTCCTGGGACAAATTTTTGCTTGGTATAAACATTTTGCCTATCAGAAATTTAACCCCAGGTAACGGCAAGAAGATATGAAAGTCGCCAATGTTATTAAGATTCTATCAAATGTTTGGAATTCTATATATCTTACTTTTTTAATCCTCACAAAAATATCATGCAACCCATTCACTTATTCCTTCAGTTAAATTTAATGAATAGTTTATGTATACCAGGGGCTATGCTAGGCATCAGAAGTACAATTGTGCATGAAAACAAACACTTGTATGTGGAGGAGACTGACTTTAAATAATTACACAAATAAGTATAAAATTATAAGTGCTATAAGGTGCTGTATGATTCAATAAAAATGCATAAATGGGAAACGTACCTAGTATGGGGAAAGAGACAGAAAGATATCACCATGGAAACAGTGTTTGGCCTGAGATCTAAAGAAATAATGAGAGTTAAGCAGTTAAGACAGTTTTTTATTCTTTTTGTATAAAAGACACTAAGAGACAATTAGTGAAATTAGTAGTATATTCATATTAAGGAGCAGAGGAGTATTCCAAGCATGTGTTACCAAAAGATGTAATACATGCAAAGGTCCTGGGATAGGAGAAAGCATGGCATTTTAAAATTCATGAAAGAATAATCATTTGGAAATCACCAAAGTAATAATTTCTAAAGACTCATCAATGGATTCTAACACTAAAAGACAAAAGTTTATTATTTTATGTAAAAGTTCATTAACATAGTCTCAGAGTATCTCCCCACAAGGTTAATTTATCCCAAAGGAAAAAAAAATAGTAACTTTACATTGGAGAAATCTGACAGACCTCAGATTAATTATATGATCCAAGTAAGATATCAGCACTAATGGGCTGACCAAACATCCTGATACAATACACTAAAAAGATACAAAATCACTTCTGGGATAGTCCTGCCAAAAAACAACAACTTGTATCTAATCTTGACTAATCATACACAAACCCCAAATGAGAGACATTCTAAAAATAATTGCCCAAGACTCTTCAAAAATGCCAAGGTTACAAAAGAAAAACTGAGGAATTCTTCCAGATTAAAAAATCAAAGGAGAAGGGGCTGGGGATGTGGCTCAAGCGGTAGCGCGCTCGCCTGGCATGCGTGCGGCCCGGGTTCGATCCTCAGCACCACATACCAACAAAGGTGTTGTGTCCGCCAAGAACTAAAAAATAAATAATAAAAATTCTCTCTCTCTCTCTCTCTCTCTCTCTCTCTCTCTCCTCTCTCACTCTCTCTTTAAAAAAAAAAATCAAAGGAGACATGGCAACTAAGTTGAATCTCATCTTGGAGCAAAAAGATAGTTTTTTATTCTTTTTTGTATAAAAGACACTAAGAGACAATTAATGAAATTAGTATATTCATGAATTTATTTATTATAGGACTCTCAAAAAGTTCAGAAAAAAAGAGAATGGTTAGACGCATGTAAATTTTAGCATTTGAGGAATATGTGTTAACAACACCCAGGAATTCTTTATACTAGTTTTGCAGCATTTCTGCTAAGTAGTTTGGAACTACTTTACGATCGAAGACTACAAAAACAAGAAGACTTGAAAGAAGACTCCATGAGGTTCTATAGACAAGAGTGTGAGGCAAGGGGAGGCTGAACTTGTAGGGAAAAGCTAAAACATAGAGTCCTTGAAGATCTTGATCAAGATGTTGGCCAATCTCCTGGAGGTAATGAGAAGCCACCAAAAGGCACAGGCGGGTAAATGACATGATCAGACAGCATTTTAAAAAGACCAGTCTGGCTATTGGGCAGAGGAGAACCAAAATAACTAACTAGAAGGGAGACTAGTTAGCTGGGAATGAGTGGGGATGGGAGATGGGAACATGGCTGACCTCACCTTGAGAACAGGGAGAAGCATAGAGAAAAAAAGAGGGCAGGGCCTCAAACTCCACCTCAAGGACTCTGTCATCTGTGTTCTTATCTTCACTTCATAGATGAACTGAAGCCATGGTGACCTACTTAAAGTCACACACCCAGTAAGTGGCAGAGCAGGGGTCAAAAGGCAAGCCCATTTGACTTTGCCCAATCTCTGCCTTCCCCAATAAGCTCCTTCCTCAAGAATCTTACTTTTTCTTCTTTTCTAACTTTATGCAAAATTAGAAAGGAATCAAAATGTATTCAGAAGTGGGTGACACGGAACAAGAGATTTTCCTGTCTTCCTTTCTCTGGATGTCCAGTTAATGAGGTTCTTCTCAATTCCAAAAAATAAAAAGCTGTACTTTTTTTTTGTACAGGTTTTCAAATAGTTTCTCTTCAAAAGCATATTAGACTTTCTTTATAATGTAAATAAATTCTTTGTTATAGTTATGAAGAGTCAGAAAAATCCCTCTTACATACACACAGTTGGTTATAAATTTCCAAGGTTGGTGAGTTGGTTTCTCCTTGAACTTTACCATTTATCTCCTGCTAACATGTCAGCTAACATCTCAAGGAGAAATTTAGAACCAGCAGTGGAAGGCTTAGCCTGACCCCAACTTCAAATTGCAGTA